GTTTTTTCTTTATTTTTTACCAAACTCCAACAAGCTGGTAAAATCCTTGGAGAAGGTGGGTGTTGACTTGATCAGAGGTGCAAAGGGAAAGAATCTCAAAGCGAAGGGACCAGTTTGGAAGACTTTGAGAATCACTAGGAGAAAAATGCCTCGTATGAAGGTTCTAAGGCATGGGATCACTTCCAGTTGAGAATCCACAGGCAACTCATTAACTTGCACAATCTTTTTAAGATTGTTAAGCAGATTACTTCCATCAGTATTGAGCTAGGAGTTAAGCCTGAAGTGACCATGCAGATGCTTAAGACAACTATTTTAATAAACTGATTACTAGTTGTTATAAATCAACAAATATAATAAAAGGTTAAGTAGGAATAAGAGGAATTAAAAGCACTATAAAACATACAAATACAAAGATAACCATTAGAACAAAAACATAAACGTTCCTAAATCTCATAATACAAAAAAATAATAGTTCTTAAAAGACAATTCTCTATAGTGGTTCTGAACATCTTACATCAGCTTTTTGTTGGATTGCCTTTTCAAAGATGTTTGTATAGCTAATAATCTTGGAAGATAGAGATATAGTCTCTCCCTATACCAAAAGGCAGTTTTGCTACCTAAGATAATAAAGATATATTTCTACTGGACAAAATTTGGGCAGGTTTTCCTAACTTGGAGTCCCCAGCTATGACACAAACCCACTGAGTATACAGCATCACTCCATGGAACTTGGAGGTCAAGAGAAAACTATACAAACATGAAGCATATGGTAACTGTTGTGCTGTTAGTAATAAAACACTTATATCTTACCCAGGAATCTCATGTCTACTGCCAGCATCTATGAAAGTATGTCAGGCATGCAAGTAATTTTAAATCTTAAACCTTTAATAAAGAAGGCACAGCCAAACAGAGAAAAAAATACAGTAAATATAATGCTACACACAGTAACTATGGACTAACTTCCAGGATATATTAAGCAAAAAAAAAAAAAGTATTTACAGTATGCTATCTTTCATAAGAGGAAACAGAAATAGACACATTGCAAGCATGGACACACACACACACACACACACACACACACACACACACACACACACTTAATTTTACCAAAACAACAACACAAAAGAAAAGAAAAGATAAATTAGAAGTTAGTACAACTGGCTACTTAAAAGGGGTAGAGGAGAATAGAGGTAGAGGCTAGAAAGGAAGGTAATGACACCCATCTCTGAGACTACCACTGAGCATAATTTTGAATTCTGGAAGCATATTAATGCTCTACATGCTTAAACATAATTAAGTCAGCAAGAATGGGGACAAAGACACCTAAACTGAATACAAAAACCAAAAGAATGCAACTACATTTTAAATGAGTAACATAACTACAAGGAATGGGGAAAAATAAATCTTGAACTCTTAAAAAAATTTTTAAATATATGGGGTACAATTTAGGATTAGGTAAACACGTGGTCATTGTACACGTAAAGTTTGGGCCTCCTTTTTGGTCCTCACTTGGCCTGGTTTGAGATCAGGTAAGCTTATTGATGTTGTGCCCCCTTCCTCCCCACCCCTATCCCTGGCAGTATCCCTCTACTGCCAATCCCTTTCTTATAGTATTATAGTAAATGTTCAGGGTCTGCTTATGAGTGAGAACATGTTGTACTCTGTTCTTTGTTTCTGTGATAGATCACTGAGTATGATAGACTCTAAATCCATCCAAAATCTTGAACTCTTGTTAGTAGGTTTGTTTTTCACAAAGTTTGCTTGTAGTAACTGTGAAACTACTTTTTATGTTCATTTTATGACTTAGCAAATGAGTCAATGTATTGGTGTTGTTAGGAGACAGTTCTCACTTGTCCAAAGAATCCAAAAACCATCTTGAAAGGATGGTACAATCAATCTGATACAATCTGAGCATCAAAATGAATAGGAAATTAATTAATAATAACCTATTTAATAAAGTAAAAATCCATGAGTCCTTACTCTTGATAAATAGTTAAATACCATAAGAAAGGTAGGATGTTTCCTTAATGCAGAATGCTGGTTGTAATTTGGGGAGCAGTGGAGTTGGAAAACCTCCATATTCCAATCATCAGGCAAAACCATCAATAGATAATGGAGTAACAACCTTCAAAGGTTCTGTCGAGAACTTTAAACAGACATAGGATTCATGGGTAGTAAACAAGTTTGTGAAAAGAAAAAGTGGAATCAGGTATTATAAGAAACGTAAACTGCAAAGAATGACATGCTGGAAAAGTTGGCAGCATAAAAAGAAGGAAATGATAGAACAAAGGCTGAATCAGGGGTCTCAGAGATTGTAAAGGACTTGAGTGAAGGAAGTCAGTTCTTGAAGATGTTCTGGAGGAGCAGTCCACCTACACCATTCTTTTCTCCACAGACCTACATCTGCTTTCACCTTTCCAGGGTTACAAATACTATATACCAAGAAGAACACATAAATATAAATAGTACAAAGAAAGAACAACAATAAGATTCCAAGAGGCTAGATATGTCATTTTTCCAATTTGCACTGGCTTTTACCCCCTTAGAAAAATACTAATAAATCTATGATAATCTAAATAAATAATTTAGAAAAGACAAAGACTGAAGAAAGATACAAAAAGAAGAAATTAATTCCAAATGTGTAGGATGCTTTTCTCATGTTAATTTCATACCATATCTTTTAAAAATTAACCTATTAGAAGATACACTTCTAAATGTATTTGGCTATACAGCTCAGTTCAAAGAAGGGCTACATGTGCCAGAAGGCAAGGGTTCTAAATAATCTGCTCAGCAGTGAAAGGGAGATACAAATCTCAGGAGCCCATTGGTGCACAACAGCACAGGTTTCATTAATGCTCAACCCATAAACTGTGAGTTCACCACCTTCTTAGGCATGGAACTTCCTAGACAAATTATGAAAATATTCTTTATAATATCACAAGTTTACAGAGTATTATTAATGTACAAAGACAGACAAATGAATATATTGTTAGTAGTTCACAGTCAGTAAGTCTATTACAATGTCAAATGATAGTCTTTCAAACAATTTAGATGAAGTGCATTAAAATAATCTGCTTCCCACTACCTAACCGTATACTAGTCCTGGTTCTCTCATCCCTAAAAGGTTCATGTTTGAAATATATTTGATGTATATGACAGATGAAAATGAAACATAACTTAGGGTTAAGAATAGGGAATAATAATATACATTTATTCTTGACTTTAATGAGTGGCTATGCTATCACAGGTTTTTAAATATTTTTAGCTGGAAAGCTCTTTCTTCAGATGAAATCTTATTAAAAAGTTCAGCCTGGGCAGGGTGGCTCATACCTGCAATCCCAGCACTTTGGGAGGCCAAAGTAAAAGCATTGCTTGAGGTCAGGATTTGAGGCCCCCCTGAGAAACAGAGCAAGATTTTATTTCTATTTTTAAAAATTTTAAAAATAAAAAAGTTCAAGAGTTTAATCTACAAAATAACTAACAGCAGAATAACTTTGTTTAAAGTGGGCAATGGAGGTCTGGAATAACACGAGTTTTGGAGGGCTTCCTTGGCAGCCCACTGCACAGTTAGAAACCTACTCTTGCATAAGATTTTATAAGGACAATATAAATATATTAGTCACTGAAAATAAGAGTCTACTAGTAACTGTAAAAATATGAAATTTAAACTAGAAAAAGTCAAACCCATTATTATTTACTGAAGAACACAAACAAAGTAAATACAAAATCTTCTTAATAAAGGATAATTTACAAGAGAAGTATAAAAGGCAGCTCCTTTTGGCACCATAGTAGCTGTTCCTCCTTGTTGGAAGCTCCCAACTGATACAGGAATGTGATGTTTCAGATTAACATGTTTATTCTGATGCCCATATGTCCTAAATATATGCAGTATTATGAATTGATAGTTTCAGAAAACACATTTTAGTAATGAGAATAATAATATTATTTATTATACTAACTTCTAATCCTAACATATACCTAGTTCAAATTTTCTAAGATATTATATCCAGTTTTTAAAATTAATCTGTAATTTTTAGGATCTCTTTTAAAAGTCTAGATTTCCTCAGTTTCCTTTAGCTAATGAAAGGAAAAAAATCCCTTCCAACTCTATAACTGCTATAAGCCAAAATGAAGCAGCCTCTTGCTACTGTTTGCTTCTGTGGAAGCAGAACAAAAGCACATTAATAGTTAACAAAGCTACAGTATGATATACGAATGAAGTCTTGCATTTAAAAAGTACTTAGACTGTATTTACAAAAGAATCTGTACCATTAATTATTCAACATTTGGATTTGACCAGAAACCAGCAAATGACTCTATAATGCTCTGTTTAAATGAACTACTTAATGTCGTAATAAACACTCCATACAGTGGACTCAATGAATTTCAGACATGTTATAATACTTTATTTTTTTCAATTTTTTGATCAATGGACATATTTTAATGCTAAATCAATTTGAAATTCACTTGTTCTCTAAAAATGTTTACTTAAACCAAAAATTTTGCATCTCAATTATTTTATATTCTAAAACTGACTGTAGTTTAAACCAATGCATTATTCATAAGGCAAAGACATCAGGAAAAACAAAGCTGTGCACTTCTTTCAAAGCCACTAAATTGCTAAAACATACCATATTTATGCATGCAATATTTGATTGTGTTTTCTTAAAACACAAGCTTGTTTTCGTCAGATCAAGATATGCCAAAAATTCTACACCAAACAATTTTTGTTTATAATTAAAGCAATCATCAATCCAGGGATTGTCATCCATTTTATTTCATCTCTACATCAAAAAAAAGTAATTTAAAAAAATTTTAAATTCCCTTGAAATGATAAGATAAATGAAAATGTAAGTGCCTTCACATAATAACAGTAAGCTGACCCTTTGGGAAATGGTTGACTTTCTCAATACAAGGTATTCAAAGCTCATTCAAAAGTGTTCATTTAGAATGCAGATATCAAAGATGATGCAAATGTTCAAGAGAAAATTAGAACTTACCAGATGTTCTAATCCAGCTTTGATGTTTCCAGATTCCCTAAAATAGAAAAATAAAAGTTCTAAATAGTTGATAAACCCTCGTCTGCTCTAATTTATCTTTACCTCAAAAATGTTTTATATACTCTTATAATTTTTCATATATCTCTGCTAATGCTCATAATAACACTATTTTTAAAGACTATTTTCATCAAAAATGAACAGATTTTTTATTTATAGCAAGTAGAATTACATCTAAAATTGGTAATCCACTAAAAAAAGTTTCAGATTTTTCAAAGGCAGTGGAGAACAAAAAGAAATCAAGTGTATTATTTTTTTTATTATGACAATATCTACTTCACAAATTTTTTCATTGAGGTTATGTTTATTTCCAACATTATGAAAATATTTAAAGTTACAGAGTCTATCTATCTACCACCTTGATTCCACAATTCACATTGTATTATATTTGTTTTATCAAATATCTATCCAATGGTTGCATTTTATTTAAGTAATATACACATAAAGAATACATTTGTGAGTGCACAGCTAAATAACTGAATCTTAAAAATCTATCATTAATTTCATTAATTTAGTGCATGCTACAAATTAGGACCAAAAATTGCTTTAATATTAAAAAATAAAATATCACCAAAGAAAATATGAACATCAAATACCATGATAAATTTTGAGTATTAAATTTCTTGTTTTCACTGCAAAAGAGTCTGCTGATAGAACTAAAAATACAAGTATATGTACAAGTAGCAAAAATAATTGAATAAACATTTAGTGACGTGGCAAATACTGAATTTTCTCTTATTTCAGTCTATACTAATTTATTAGTAACAAATGAACTTTGACCTTTCTCATTCTAATCAAGCAAACTTTTAGTTACATCATAATGACCAAACCATATCTTTTTTTAAACTCAAAATTATAACTCTACCACACTGTAGAAAGTAATTATAAAACCTCCAACAACAAAGAACATTATTGTATACATGATGTCTCCCCCATACCTCTTTGTTTCTCTGAGAGGTTCCAACTTTATTTCTTTTCTCCATGTTTCTGTCTCCTGTTTCTGATTTGCCTAAGATATACTTATCTGTTACCTTTGTCTTGCTACACTATCTTTTCAAATTTCCCTATCAAACCTGCTGCTTGAGAACTGTACTCATGGCTTCCAACATTTCCCACTTCCACTGATTTACACTCATCTCCATTCATTCTCTCCTGCTCTGCAATCTTAGTAAAACTATATATCCAATGCTTAGAAATTTAAGGTGTCTGAAACTTATTCCCTAATCCCTAATGCCATCACCGTCCTAATGACATATGACAGGAATAAATTACTACAAGGTGTGTGAGAAGGTTCTGCACAGATTATTTATTATCTATGTAAATAATTATTTAAAACTACTATTTCAGAAATAAAGCATTTACTGGAGCTAGAAGTCAAATGAATCTTTAAGTTTTCACAAGGACATTCTCATACAGTTATTTGTATAACTTGAAATAAAACCAAAAAAGGAATAACATATAGTGAAATATCTGAATAGTATAACATACATGTGTGTGTACACAGACACACACACAAATAAATAATAAAACTAAGTCTTCCTCTCATCATGGACTTCCAGTTTGGAATCACTGGATCTAGTTCTTTGGTTATCCTACTAAAGATATTCTAGGGCTCTTATATGTGTGTGTGTGTATCTTTCCTCCCTGCTGTGTTTTTTCAAATCTCAAATAGAAGCACGCTATACACAAGTTTTGTACTTTCACTTGACAATCTATCTTAAGAGTTTGGACTATGTAATATACATCTACATCATTTCCCCCATGGTTATGTTGTCACAAAATAGTTCTTATTAGAAAATAATATTCAATATAAAAAGAACAGAAATGCTCAGAATCAAAATAAAAAGGCCATGATTCATTAGCTGACATCAGTGGGGCTAAACCTACTTCATCAGAATATTTCAGATTTTAAGAAGGTAAAGTATGTCATATAACACTGCCAGTGGGGTCTGAGGCAGTAGCTCATCTTCCTAATGAATAATTATGAAAGAAAAACATGAATATTCACGCAAAGTGGGATAAGCAAAGACTGTGAATAGCTTCATTTCAGTGTAGGTTTTACTGTCAACTGTGTTTGCCACAGTTAGGGAAAATCATTCCGTTTTCTTGAGCTATTTGCATTTTTGAATTGAGGATAAGAAACTGTTCTTTAAAACAAAAACAAAAGATAGCTTATTGTTTTGCTATGTTTTCAGGTGATTCTTTAAATTAAAAGATAATTTGAAAATATGTGTTTTGAATGGCATGCCTGAGAGAATACCAGGTATTATTCTTGACACACTCCCTTTCCTTTACTACCAAATTATAAGCAAATGTAATAAACCACAAGGTCCTGCCTATCCCACATCCTTAATTACCAGTTAGATCTAACTCTAACTTCTATCATCATAGTTACGATCTTGTTTCAATCTGTCATGTTCTCTCCCTAAATTTCTGCAACATTCTTTTTTTTTTTTTGAGTTGGAATCTCACTCTGTTGCCCAGACTGGAGTGCAGTGGCCGCTCCCGGCCACTGCAGCCTCGACCTGCTGGGCTCCGGCAATCCTTCCACCTCAGCCTTCCGAGTAGCTGGAACTACAGGCGCGCGCTACCACACCCAGCTAATTTTTTGATTTATTGTAGAGATGAGGTCTCGTTGCCCATGCGGGTCTTGAACAAGTGGGCTCAGGCAATCCACTCACCTCAGCCTCCCAAAGGCATGGGATTACAGGCTGAGCCAGCGAGCCTGGCTCTGCAACATTCTTAATGGGTCTCAATGGCTCCTGCCTTTCCCCATGTTCAATTCATTCTCCCTAATATAGTAGAATCTTTCTAAGACATAAGCCTGATTATGTCAATTATAATATCTTACCACAATGCAATTTACCTATTCTCTGTTATCTTGCCAAAGCTACATCACACGAAAAGTGACAGCAACACCAGCTACTAACATGGTTTCACTTACCACTGAACCACTTACTCCCTCTACCTATCATGCTCCTTTTCTTCCAGCCTCTTCTGATCCTTTCTTTCAGGACTCAACCTAAGCCATACTTCAGTGGGGAAACCTTATCCCTCTCTTACAAATGAAGTGATGCATTCTTCCTACATATTCCCGTAGCACTCTGGGCTTGTCCCATCACAGAATTTATCACCATTTAAAATAAATGCCTGTTTACTTTCCACTGACTCCACTAAAATGAAAACTCCTTGAGGACATGCATTAGATCTTTTTAATTTTTATACTCCATCACCGAATACAATCCCTGAATCAGAGTATGTATTCCGTTAATAAAAGTCTGACAACTGACCATCATGAGACAAGCTTCTGTGGAGAGTCAGTAGCAACCAGCTCAAGTCTCTACGTGGTCTTCTCCAGCCCACATTATCTCCAACCCACACAAAGACCAAGGCACGTTGCAACAGTGAGTGGTTGCCTAGGATAGCAGTATTAGGAGGTAAGTGTTGGCGTGTGCATGTGTGCAAATACACAATGTGGGAAGGCACAATGGAAAAAGTGGTTAAGGTCAAACTAGAACAGTAGAGGCTTTCCACTCTAGTTCCTAATCTGGAGGAGAATAAGTCAGAGACTAGGTTTTCTTACCCCTCTTGTTAGATTAAAATTACTACCCGAGGGAGCTGAAGGCTGTAAAACAAATAAACAAATAAAAGAAATCCACAAGGAAAATTGTAGGGTGACTAAATGCAAAAATTGAAAAACAATAAACAGAACAAACTCATTCAAGGAAAACAGGGTAGACTGAACAAGAATGTAAACATAACAAAATCTTCAAAGGAACGATTTTTAGAAATATAAATATAAAAATGAAGTTATGAAAAAGAATAATAGTGAGTATCAAAAATCTAACAGTTTGAAATAAAGAACTCAAGAGGATGAATTCAAAGCACAATAGATACACAAAAAGAATGAATTTATAAGCTGGAAAATGAGGCAGAACTGTCCCAGAAGGCATAGAGAAGGGGTGAAAAGAGAACAAATGAGAGATTAAATTAAGAGCAGGAGTATAAGTATTAGCATCTATATTATGAAAATTCTAGAAGAGGAGTAAAGACAAAATTAAAGAAAAGAAATATTTGAAAAAATAGTGACAGATTTCTCAGATAAAAAAAATATTCAAATTCCAGATTGAAAGAGCACATGGAATAGTAAAAAGGATAAGTAAAAAACTACAGCAAAGCATATTATAAAAACACTTAAGACTGTTATGGATTAGGAGGAAAGTCACTTCAAAAAAGGAAAAAGGAGACCCCTTCATAAAGGAATAAAAACACTGATAGCAGGCTGCTCAACACAATGCTGTATGCAAAATGACGACAGAGTAGTAACACCTGAGAAAAAGTGCTAAAGGAAAAGAACTGTGAACCTAGCATACAGCTAATGAACTATTATTTAAATACAAGAAAAAACTGTAAAATCTCAGTTGATAAGGTCTTAAAAAATTCACAACACAAAGACATTACTTTAAAAAGTCTTGAGGAATGTATTGCAGTAAGAAGAGAAATTCTGAAAGAAGCAACAAGGCAAATTAAAGTTAGCACAGAATTTAATATGAATGTAATCAAAGCAATCATAACTAAAAATTAAACTAGAGAAAGTTCACCTACAACCATTTAGAATTAAAATAACTGAGAAGATTCTCAGATTAGGTAAAAAACAAAATCCAGCAATGTTTTACTTACAAAAGACAAATGATGCAAAAGGACCAGAAAGTTTTTCCCCAAAAAGTATAGAAAAAGATAACCAAGCAAATATGAACCAAAAGAAAGCCGAGGATGAATTTTAATGACAAAATAGATAATTCCTCCACCATCACCCAATACACACGTAAAGAAAATTCTAAGATATGTATCCACAAAAATTGAATAACAACATACAGAGCAATCTCGTCTAGTGGAAACAGAATAGATTGAACAGTAATATAAATGTAATACAACATGTTAAAAGGGATACACGTACACACACACACACACACACACACA